GGTAGTTGTTGTGCTCAAGTTTTGTGGCTAAAGCAACAACTACTGGACTATGGAGTCAAGACAAAGGAAGTGACAATCTTTTGTGACAATCAAAGTGCCATAGCCATCTCTCAAAACCCAGTGCATCATTCTCGCACTAAGCACATTGATGTCAAGCATCACTTCATCAGAGATCATGTGGAAAAGAAAGATATCAAAATTGAGTATATCTCAACTGAAGAACAACTGGCGGATATCTTCACCAAACCACTAAGTGAAGCCAAGTTTTCCGATTTGCTTCACAAAATTGGTCTAATTCAATTAGACTAAATGTAGTGCACGTGGCAGTTCACTTTCCACGTCTGTCAAAATGATGGGTGGGGACGTGGCCTTGGGAACAGTTAAAAAATCCAATCGCCACTAGCCGCATAAATCGCCCACATTAAAACCCAATCGCCACTATTCAGATCTCAACCGCCCACTCAAAAATTCTTCGTCATCTTCTTCGCGAAAAATTCTCAAGAACTTGCAAGAACCCTAGGTCTTTCTTTCTCAAATTTTCACCCAAATTTCTGAGAAAATGAAGGTTGTCGGAGCAAATGTCCACTTTCAGAAGTTAGAAGCCAAGTGCTCATCCCCAACATTCTTTCAAAGCTATCTGCAAATGATAGCCGCTCAAGAACTCTCCGAATTTCTTCAAATGGAGATTCGCCTCAAATTTGAGGAAGTAGTTCTTGAATTCTACAGAGATGGAGAAATCAAAACTGCCCATTCAAAGAAGGACCCACAAAGGACGTTTCCAGTCATCAAGTCCACTGTTGGAGGTACAAGAGTGAAGCTTTCGCAAAAGAAATTGGGAGAAAAGCTTCGCCTTCCCAATTCTGGAGTTGAAGTTGGAAAATTTCCAGTCAAAAATCTGGACTGGAACATCATTGGAATCTCTGGGCAAGCTCCTTCTGGCCCAGCGAAGAAAGCAGATCTAAACAACGATTACAAGTTGGTTTTGGAACTGGTCATCGCTTGCCTCGAGTGTGGTAGTGGAGGTCATGCCGATGACATCACCCAGGAGAGAGCCTTCATCATCAACTCTCTCATTACCAAAACTAAGGTAAACTGGGCTGCACACTTTTTCAATTCCATCTCAAAGCATTTGGGAAAGCCCAACCAGAAATATCTTTGTCAATGACTATACCTTGGACATATTTTGGGATCTATGGGTATTGCTTCTAAGGGAAAGAAGTATGAAGAAAGATACTGGTTATATTATCTGTATTCAAAAGGGGAAAACAGAGCTGGTACTAGTGCCACTGCAGAAGAAAGCTCTTCAGATAACGTCCCACTCATCCATATGACGAAGACTACCAAAAGGAAGAAAGTGGTGTCTCCCTCCATTGAAGCACCACAGAATCTTGCTCCAATAAATCTTGAAGAAGAGGAAGAATCCTCTGATCAAGGAGAACTTCAAAGGAAGAAGAAGAGGAAGATCAACTCCCCAACATCTGGAAATGTCAATCCGGATGAGTTGAAGGAGAAGGAACCTGCTGAGGAAACATCTGCTCAAAACCGGAGCCCTCAACAATTTGAAGAAGAAATTCCTCAAGTCCAAAGCCTTCCAACCTCATCTCAGCCTCAAACAGATGATGCAGATAACCAATTCTGGCAGCTATACTATGATTGGAAAGCCTGGAAAGTTGGGAATTCAGCAGAGAAACTGTTGAATTGGGACCAACAGCTGAAGAATGAGAAAATCATCAAGAAGTGCTTAGGAATACCAGTCAACCACAACTGTGAACAGATTTTGGATGACTACTGGGTATGGCAAAGGAACTCTGAAGACTTGCATCTGGAATACCTGGCCAATACACCAGTTTCAGACTATGTAGCAGATGATGTAGACACTGCAGTCTTCAAGCCAGTCTTCTCAAAAGCTACAGAAGATCAAGTGGCTCTCACTTCTGAAGCAACAGCTGAGGATTTCCAAACATTTCCGGAAACCTCACCTGCCCTCGAAACGGAAACCTCACCCGCATTTCAGGAAACTTCACATGCTTCTGAAATGGTTCTGACTGAAGTTGTTCAAGAGAAGGCAACCCCTCCCTCACTAGAACAGAACCAGGAAACAGCAGATGAAGAAGAATTTCAGCCACTAATCCAATCTCAAGTTTTGGAGATTCTCACCACTCCTTGTGAGATCTCCAATCCTACTGAAATTGAGATCCCGGAAAAGTCAGCTGAAATTCCGGAATAGTCAGCTCTTCCAGAAACAATGGAGCAAGCTGTTGAAGCACAGAGGGATTCTGGAGAAGCTGCAAAGGAAGCTCAAATGGCAGAACTAGAGGTCTCTGAAACTCAAGTAGCCATTTTTGAAGAAGAGAATACAGCTGAAGAAAGAGACTCCTTCTCTAGGGATATATCAAATTTTGCGCTTGAAACAGAAGGAGAATCTGAAAGAACACTGAAGGTTACCGTTGAAGAAGATGTCCAAGAAGATGCTGAATCTCTTCCTATGCAACTTTTCCAAAGAACACCATCATCTCATCAGGTAACCAACTTTCATTTCCATAGCTCTTCCACCCCTGCTCTTCCGGATGAGATACCGGAAATCTGGACAAAGAAGGTCCAAGGGCTGATTGAATCAGCCCTAGCATCTCAACATGCCTCCTTTAGGCAAGAGATAGAACAAATGGAAGTCAGGCACACCCAGCTAATAGAGAAATCTGAAGGAAAACACAGCGCAGATCTCATTGAAATAAGCAAATCAGTGCAGAAGACTCTGGAGATTATCTCTCTATTGAGTGAAACTGTGAGCAACACGATGAAAATATATGCCTCTGACAGTCAACTTCATCTCAAAGAGATCAACAAAGTCAAAGAGCAAATAGCGAGTGTCACAATTAGTCTCCAAAAACAGATGTCCCTTCTCCAAATGGACATCAGATCAGCCCTAGCAGTAGCTTCTGCAAATCAGGTAGTGACCAAAGACTACTTGAAGGTGATCATTGACAATCAAAAGGAAGCATTCAAGCTGTTCAGACTTATTGGTGCAAACTCTGGAAACCGCAAGATGGAAGTAATTCTCCAACAACACAGTCCATCTCCAATACCACAGCTTCCTATTGCAATCAAAGAAGGAGAAGTATCTTATAT